CACACACACACACACTCACAGGAGGCAGGGGGTCATGCAATGCCCCAGCCGCGGTCCCCCCCCAGCTCTGTCCCTCCACCATGCTCCACCGAGTCCCACGCAGCAACACAGCCAGGCACCCAGCAAGGTCAGAGCGCACACAGGGCAGCGTGTTTCCATTGCCTGCAGCCTCAGACAGTTGTCCACAGGGCTGCATTCCTCCCCAAAATTACCCCAAACAGGGCAAAGCTCTACGTCCCCAGCCCCACGCCTCACCCAGTGCGGGAGGAGGGGGTGAGCCAGGAGTGCCCTCCTTCAGCCCAGAGAGCTGAGACCAGGGGCTAAGCCAAAAGAAGGCTTCTTCAAATACCTGCTCAGTCAAGAGGGAAATGGAGAGACGCTGTTTCAAGTCAAAACAAACCACCACCGCTATACAAAGCAAATTGCCTTTTAATACGTAACCAAGTGCAGGGGGTGAGTTTCAGGACATCTTTTTATCCCCAGCATCATCCGTCTGCCAACAGCAATACAAAGAAATCACAAAGCGTAAAACACGACACTGCCATGAAAATAGATGTTAGATGCACACACACAACATACAAAGAGGTAATCCCAAGTAACAGAGCACCAGGGGTCTGTCCCAGCCCCAACCAGCAGAGCCGGGCAAGGTGCCCCCTCCCCAAGGGCACCTCTTGCAGGACCAGGAGCCCTCAGCACCCCCCGGCTGGGGCTGTGCCGTTTCACACCGTCTTAGAGCTGCTGGGACAATAACAAGTCCATCCCGCTACTTTTGGGCTCAGGCATAAGGCTCCTTATCATGGCCAGTCAGCTCCTTGCCCCGTCCCGGGCGCTTCTCCAGGCCACTCCAGAGGGGTCTGACACATCTCCAGCATCACTCTGCTCCCAGCCTGCAGCCAGGAGCTCGACCCCTCCCTAGCCCTGCACTAATTACCTGACTTTACTCACTTGGCAAGCAGTACACACTTGGCTTGCTTGGCATGATGTGATGGGTGCAAGGAGGGGGAAGATGTGGAGGTCCCCAACCTCTCCCACCTCTCTGACCAACCTGGCTTGTATAGTTGTTCTTGAATCAAACCACCTCTACCCCCCCTCCCCCCTTGCTTTTTTGGTGGGCTTTCCCTGAGGGTTGGGGGAGAATTTGCCCTGTGGTAGGAATAAAAAAAAACCCCACAAAACCCCAAACCAACTAATTCACATCTTCGGTTAAAAAATACAAACGAAAAGGAATTCAACAAAGTGAGCTGCTCTCCAGGACAGCAGTTTGAGGGGCACAAAGCTGGTGTGAAGCAGCAGACTGCAGTCACTGCATCCCTTCCTGCCTTTCTCACCGCTTTGGCAAAACACCACCATCCTGAGTCACTGCAGGAGTAAACCCCGTCCTTCCTCCATCTGGTGACACTGCTGAGTGCAGGAGAAGAACACAAGGACAAGCCAGTGACAAACCCAAGGGGAACTTGGCTAGACCTTCCCCACCCTGCTGTAAGGGAAGGTCACAGCCTGGTACCCGCTTCTCCCAAACTCCCCGGGAAGGCTGCTGAGGAGCCAGAAATCCCAATGTGCCTCTGCTCTCACCAACTCCACCTCACAAAAAGACCCTTCAAATGCTGCTGAGCTTCTCCAAGTGCTTGGTAACATTCCCTTTCCTAAAGGAACTGGATCTCCAGAGGCTCAAGAGGAGGGGAAGAGATGGAGAACACAGGGGTAGCAAGGAGCAGAGGGGCTCAGGCACAGGAGGAGATGATGCAGGGGTCCGAACAGCAACCTGGCAAGGGTGGTCCACACACAGGGGATGAGGAGACCACACTACATCAAGAAACAGCAATTTGGTGCTGTGGTGCCTGTCAGGCTGGCAGGTCTGTCTGCAACAGGTTGCCAGGAACGCATGGACTGGAGAGCGGGGGGGTTGTTTCCTTGACCCCAAGAGTCTGACAAACCTCCCTGTGGCAGGGCTGCATCTCCCCAAAAGGCTTCTTATGGACAAAATGCAAACCACTTTGTCGTAGGCTACCAAAAGCTCTGCAGGGGCACCTCAATTCAGGCACTGGGAGACAAAAACCTAAGCAACCAGGAAGCATGAGGCACCACTTGAGGGTGTGTCTGGCCAGAAGAGCTCATAATTGCTGGTGGCTTTTCAAAACATGGCTCCTAGTTCACAGTGAGGCTTCAAAACAGGCTGCCCACAACCGACACTGTGCCTACATCCCCCCAGCACCACCCCTCGCTCCATCCGTTTGAGCGGGTGCACCCTCAGGTCCTGCAGCCCTCGCACCTCACCTTGAGCTGGACCTCACAGGCACAGAGTTGCTGCCCGCCCGCAAAGGACGCTGATGGGAAGCCAGGGCCCCGCTCAGAGGAGGGCAGTGCTCCTGTACCCACCTTCGCAGGGAGAGCTGCTGAGCACCTCAAAACCGAGCCCAGTGAGGAACGTGATGCTCCAGGGTGGCTCTCACCGGGGCAAGGCAAAGCACCCAGCTGCTGGGGAAGGGACACTTTAGAAGCATCCCTAAGAAAGGCACTCTCATGTCCAAAAAGGTTATTTCTGTACTGGCACTCAGGCAGCAACATCTGGTCCATCTGGTGGGTGCTGGGACCCATGTTGGACCCCAGAAGGAGTCTGCTGTGTTGCACTGGACCTGCCCCACCACATCTCTGAGGAGCTGCCCCAGCCTGCAGGAGCCACGGCTGGTGCTGCATGAACCACTTGTCCTGCTCCCCTTCCCAAGAAAGGCTGGGCGCCGGGGGCAGTATCGGGGACTGTTTGGGGAAGACACCATCCCCTGGCAGCTGGCTGACACCTAAGGGTGCTGACACTTGTGCGGGTAGAGCAGCCTCCTCATCACAGAGGTCCCCAGCGAACAAGGACTCATGCAAGCCCTGCGCAGAGCAAGGAGCAGGTTGGGAGGGCAGCACCCACAGCCCAGCCCCGGGGGGACTCTCAGGGCTGCTGGCCACCAAAATTTGTGACTCCAGGTGTGTCCCTGCTCCTTCCAGCTGTTTTGAAGCTGTGGTCATCCAAGCTTCTGATGGACAACCTCCAGGAGAAGTGCTCTGACCCAAAGCATGGGCTGGGTTTGCCTGGACCAGGACGTTGTGCCACCGAGTCATTAGTGCATTTGAATGCAATGAAGGTGGGCAGCTTGAGCCCACCAGCTCACACCCAGGCTGGCTCTGATCATCAGGAACAGCATTATCTACAGGAGCAGAGGTGGTAACTTCTGTTTGAAACACTTGTCCCAGGTTTGCCAGCTGAAGTGCTACAGAGGGCTTGCTGCTGGAGCCTGGGACATCCAGAACAGTCCTGCCCACCAGCCCGGCTGGGTTAAATGGGACCTGCTGGTCTGGTTGAGCAGAGCTGACCTCAGATGTAATGGAGACTAGAGAGACGGCAGCATCTTGGCCTTGTGCACCAGGTGCCTGGGCCTGTGGTGGGGCTTGAAACACTGAATTAGTTGCCCAGCAGTGCTGGAAATGAGCCACAGCGCTGTCTTCCTCATTGCAGGGGGATGCGCTGCAGCATGGGAAGTCAGTGCTCTTCCCAGCATCCTCCCTGAGGAGCATCTGCTCCACATAGGATGTCACCTCAGTGCCCAGCCTCTCTCCAACCTCCTGAGCAGGAGGCTTCTCCGCTGCACCCAAGCTAAGCAGAGTCTCCTCCCACCGCTGCAGCTCTGCATTGTCCATGTTGAAGCTCTGGAGGGTCTGGCAGATGTTTCCATCCACCTTGCTCTTCTCAAAGAGGGTTTCAAAAACAACCAGAAGGGAGTCGCTGTCCTCCTTGGCATCACTGACTTCCTCATGCTGGCTCAGTCCATCAGGCTCAATGATGAGATCTGGCAAGAACTGAGGCACATTATCAGCATGGGAGATGTATATGGATGCATCCTGCTTCATCATGGCCCCAAGAAGAGAATTGGGGTCTACTGAGTGCTGCTTTGAATGGGATTTTGCTTGTGTCTGCAACTCCTCCTTAGCCTGGAAGGAGTCCAGGAACTCAGGAAGGTCATTCCCATATAGGACTGCTTCCCCCGTGGCAAAGCTAAAAGGCAGCTGCAGGTTTCTCTTCCACAGATGTTCCTCCCCTTCTTCATTCCTTCAGGGTGGAGGGCAAAAAAAGAGATGGAAATAGCATGAGCATCTCCTCTGGGCCAGGCAAAACCACCCTCCCAACAGCAAGATGGGAGCTCAGAGCCCTGCCCTGGCATGTTTAAAGAAAAGTGTGCTGGGTTGGGCTGGCTACAATAATGCTGCTGGAGAACTGGGGCTCTGGGGAGCCCGTGGGGGGGTCTGCATGGCTCAGGGACAGGCTGCATCTCCAGGGCTCACCCCAGGCAGGTGCGAACATGTCTGCAAGCATCGTGTCTCAGCCACTTCGCTCACGTACCCCTGCTCCATGAGGGTGTGTGTCATAAAGTGCCAACCATGCATCCCACCTGCCTTTTCCTCCACCTGCCCGAAGCAGCCCCATGGCCGAGAGCAGGCGAATGCAGCCAGGGAATCCAGTGATACTCACGACAGGACTCGCTGCCGGGCGATGATGCAGTCGGGCTTGCCCCCTTTGTACACCAGCCGGGCATTGGCCTGCAACCACACCCAGCTGCCCTTCTTGGTCAGCAGCCGGAAAACAGTCAGCCCACTCTCTCCCGTCTTCATCACTGGGGCAGGGAGAGAAGAGAGGTGGCACGGGCACGGTTACTGCACGGGGGCAGACAAATGACACAGGCAAGATACCACGATGTCGAGCATCACCTTATGCCCGCGCTACAGGGGCGGAAAAGGCAGGATGCGGCCAGCACGCCATGGCACACGCGGTGCTGTCCCCCTGCAGCTCCCCAAGCAGGTGTTGCTCAGGAACGGAAAGCCTTTATCATAGCTGCTCCAGACCCGGGACGTTTGGGCCACCAAGGAGCAACAGTACTGGCATGGCCAGAGCTGTGCCAGGGAGCTGCCAGGAGCCCCCCCAAACGCACCCACCCCGATGGTCCCTCCAGCACTCACTTCTCACGTGGTTCTCCGCGCAGTACATCATGTCAGCCGCGTGCACAAACTGGTACCCGGACCCCCTCCTGCACAGCTCTGTTTCTGTGTACCCCAGGACAACCTTCCCCCTGGAAAGAGCGCAGAAACCCAGTGACCCGACAGGATGGAGGGAGGGATCCCCCAACTGCACCTCACTGGCCTGACATGATCCCCTGACCAAAGACCCCCACTTTGGGTGGTACAACTCTCCATCCTGGGCTGAGCTGCATCCCCTTTTCCACAAAACCCCATGCTGGGTTTGCGGGGCTAAAACACAGCAGCCAAAAAGTGCTGGCACCCAGTTAATCTGCTCCCCATGTTACTAGGCTGTAGAAATGCCCAGCAGGGGATGGACAAAAGCATCAGACATCTTGCCACAGGAGTTGGGTGAGAAATGACCTGCTCCTAAGGGCTCTGGCTTTCTGTCCAGCGCCTGCAACCACTGATTTTGCCACGGGGAAGGTGTGAGAAGCTGTACCAGGAATCACAGGCCACAGGAGTGAAATCCAGCTTGTGCTTTGTCTGGAAGATCAGCGTCTTGGTCCGAAGCTCCAGGATGGAGAGTGACCGGAGGGGAGTTGCGATGGCAAAGAGCGCAAGCGGGGACCCATCCGATGCCGCCTTCTGCTGCCCCAGAAGGAATTTCAAGCGGCCGCAGAAATTCAAGGCCTTAGAGGGAATTAGAAAATGTGGGTGCAAAGCAAAGAGGGTGATGGGAACTGGCAGTGCTCCCACCCTGATGACACACAAGCGATCCCTAGGGAACACGCTGGGGATAGAGGGGTGTCTCAGCGTGGGGCTGCATTACCAGAAATCCCGAGGAGTTATCCAGCAAGCAGCGGAAGCGGCAGGTGAAGCTCCTGTCCGCAAAGGACGGCTTCTCAGGACAGAGATGCTGGGGGCTGGACGTGGCCGGCAGCGCCTGGTCACCGGGAAGGGCTAGGAAACCAAAGAGAACAACATGAAGCTTTCCAAACTGCACATCTGGAACCCATGGCCTTGCAGACCTGCTCCCGGTAGAGACTCTGCTGCTCAAGTGAACCCAGGGTCTTAACAAAAGGGGTAGGACCTTGCCATGGGAAAGTACCAGTTCACGGTAGTTTCAGGTCCCTGCAAGCTCAGCTTGCCTCCCAGGCAAGGCAACAAGCCCTCCCACATCAAAATAAATAGATGAAAACTAAAAAGGCTTAGGAAGAAGTGTCCTCATGCCTCCAGCACGGGTCATTGCTGTTTGCTGCTTTAGGTGACAAGCAGCCGGCCAACCTCCGGGATGAGTACGAGTCCCGGGGGGATGCTGTGGGATGCTCCTCAGAACAGGGCTGTGCTTGGTGGCCACAAATGCCCCCAGGAGAGTTTTCTGGCACTGGGTGGCCACGCAGAGGTGGCCGGCTGGTCCTCAGCACTCACCGTTGGCAGCGTGCTGGGTGCTGCCAGACACTGGGTCCCTGTGCAGCTGGCGGTGGAAGGTGGCTCGGTCGTCTGTATGGATCAGCTCGTACACACTCTGGTAGATGAGATCTGACTGGAACGACACAAGGGAAAAGAACAATCAACTCCTGCCAGCCTGGCAGAGGCGTCTGGAGGAGGAGGACACGGCAGCAGGCTTTCCTTTGTGGGTACTAAAAAAGTGCAGTAGTTGAGTGTGAAGAAAGGAAAACACGACCAGCTTTGTGTGCCTCCCAACACAGCCACCTCCTCCTAGGGAGGTCCATGCCTCGGACCCAACTCTCCCACCCTGGTCCTGCATGCCGTGGCGGTCAGCATGGCCCTGCCAAGCCCACAGGCAGCTCAGGCCATCGACTGCCACGTCCCTGCCCTCAGAAACATGCCAGAGGGGAGCCTCATGCTTAACCAGACACACAGGTACTTCAAGAAGACCGCTCCCTGCCTCTGACAGTTGTTTTGCCTTGGGGCACCAGCCCATGAGGATCCTTCTACAGTGAGCTGGGAAAGGGTGCAAAGAAAGGACAGAGAAGAGAACACACCAGTCTCTCTACAGGTGCACCAGGAACCCAAGGAACAAAGTGGTTTTGGTAGCATCACAGCACTCCTGCTGACTCAGTGCTTTGGCCCAAGGAGCTGGACGTTGGGGGAATCAGAGGTAACAGGGTGGATATGAGGAGAAACCTGCTCTTCCTCAGCATCTTGTGTAACTCACAGTACTGCAGGGCACTGCTCACCAGCGAGATACCCTCAGCCCTCTAAGTGAGGGCATTCGTGCCCAGCAACACGATACAAGAAAAATCTTACACCCCTCTGACACAAAGACAAGCGGATACAGAGCCTGCCATTGCTCAGCTTGCATCTGTTCCTACTAAGTTACAAGCATGCCTGCTGGCTTTACAGCCCCCAAAGAACGTGACTCATTTGAAAACATACATCAAAAATGACCCAAGGGAGCTGGGAGGGGAAAAGAAAGCCCTGGCATGGCTATCACTATCTCCTTCCCAGGCCTGGGCTGCACCTGTCTGCTTACAGCCAGGAAATATCAGTACCCACCTGATGAAAGCCCAGGTAGTCCTGCACAGTTGAGGAGATGTAGAAGATGTAGCCATCTCCAGTCACAGCAATGACAAATCCATTGAGTGCCTGAAAGCGTAAGTTCAGTCCAGAGTTACTCTCCATAGCTTCAATCCAGCTGCTGAAAGATTAACTTCAAGGTGTTGCTTAAGCATTTGGGGACAGGGAGGGACCTTCATCAACAAGGAACCCACAAAAATGAAAGCACCTTGTGACCATGCAAGACTCAATCCTGGTTAGTTGGGGTTTGGTGGTTTTTATTTTTCCCCTCAGTGTTAGCAAGAGCAATCAAAGGTAGACTGACCACTTTTTCTAAACCCATCATTGAAGCACTCTCACCATCAGGAGTGACCAGCTAAGGAAACATTTCATGGAGGACCTACAGTTAGTCACCTCCTCTCCAGCTGTACCAGGGTATAGGTATATTTTTCTGGGGCTCTGATTTTCTCCAACAAACCTACCTACAACCTCAAGAACAGGCAGTGCAGAGGGAAGGAAGACTGCCCTGAACCAGGCAGGAGCCTGGTGACTCCAGGAGAAGCCTACCATCAGTTCAAGCATAATGAAGCCTTCAGAAATAGTAACCACACTGCAGTCAGTCACTGATCTGACCTATTTATCCACTCATTCATTTTAAGGATGACCTCCAAAGGCACTTTGGGCCTCGTTCCTCACTCTGAATTTTACAGTTAGGAGGTTATACAAACTATGGGAGATCATGGCTGGGATGGAAGGAGTGGAGCTCATGCATCAAGTGAATACCCAAAAAAAGAGGCAAGATGAAGATCCAGAGATATCTGGTAACCATTTCAGGCTGATTTCCTCCGAAAGGAAAGTACTGCACTTGTCTGTGATATATTTAATTTATTAGTGAAAAAGGAGACAAATTAGGAAAAGAAAAGCTTAAGTCTGCATTTAATCAGCATGTGGGCAGAAGTCTCAGCAGATCTCATAAGCATCAGGCCAGGACCTGACGTGACAGTTATGGACTCTGCCCTCACTGCCCAGCTCAGCCACCCTGAGCCACCCCCGGTGGGGACCATGGGGCTGTGCTGTTTGCTTGAGACCAGGCTGGACAGAAGGGTCTGGCCACCCTCTTCCCCCACACAAAAAGGAGCTCATGCATTTGCCCATTTACAGTAACACTCAGGCTTGTCTGGGATGGCTTTTTTTAGTCATTTGTGTTATTTGAGAAGCTGCTGGATTGAGCATGTTGCTCGATACCATACAGATCCAGCTTGTAGCTGGACCAGTCCCTGTCCTTTGTGCAGTGCAGCCCCCCAAGGGGCCCTGAGTCAGAGTTCTCTGCAAATTACAGTATCCAATTAAAATGCACTTTGAGGGGGGAAAAAACCATCAGGCAGCTCAGCTGGGGGATTTCTGTCACATTAACACCTCATAAGCTCTCCAGATGCCTTCAATCACCCAAGGATGCCAATGCTCTGGTGGCTCAACAAATTGCCATCACATGGTCCAGCCCAAATCCCCAGTGAGCACTTGGAAGCAGGAGTCACCAGGACTCCAGGAGTCACCCCCTCAGCAAAATCCCCCATGGGGGCTCCTGCTGGGGCTCTGCTCACAAGGGTGCTCACACCTGCCAGCCTTTCCATAATGGCTATGCAGGAGCAAGGTTGAAGACACCAAAGTCAGACTTTAAAGAGAGGCAAGCAGCCATCAGCTTTTCTTTGGAGAGGTGGAAGAAGGGAAAAGAGGGCTCAAGGCCCAGAAAGCACAGACACATGTGGTATCAGGAACACAGCCATGGAACGTTTAAAGGTCTTGCACAGACTTGCTCTGCAGCCCCAAGGAGCAGCACGTTTTAAGTTGAGATGCCCAGATGCTTATTCGGCAACCAGCCTTTCCGTCGGTGCTTTCTATCCTATTTCCTTCCAGCTTACATCTATAAATTGCAGCCCAAGCAGACAGCATCCCAGCCAGGTGATTCACCAGCTCCTTGTTCTCCGAAATCCAGTGAGAGCTGTTTCATGAGACACATGCTGGCCTTTCTACAAAGCAAAGCTCCCACCACAAATTGAGTTTGTTCACCACTGTCTCCCAGATCTATCTTCCCTGCTTTTCTCCCCCTCAACCTTCAAACTGAACCTGGGCTGTTTCCATCCCAGGCAGGCTGTGAACCCATGCTAGGGACCTCATGGAATGCCCCAGGTAGGGCAACCCATCTCTAGCAGATGTTTTATCCTGTAGCTATCACCACTGTCCTCTGGGCACACACAAGGAACCCCCCCATCTCAGAGACTATAACCAGGGACCATTTTTCCTACACTGCTGTAGGACACCCCTGCGCCCTCCTGGTCAGGATTTACAAACTTGTGCACATTGGGTCCATGAGCCGCAGGAAAAACACCAGGTTTGGGCTCAGTGACAGCTAATGCCTACAAGCTACAGGCGCAGACATCGCCTGATGCCTTTGCAAGAAGGATACAACCCACCACCCCAAGCCCTGCTCTGCTCATGGATGCAGCTCATGGTCTAGCCACAGGTGGGACCCCATGCTCCTCAGCTGCTGTACAGTTCAGCAGACAGGGACCAGCCATCATGCCCGGCAGATGGCAGGAGCCGAGGGAAGATCCCAAACGACCAAGCTATGGCACGATACCTGGAGCAGCAGTTCCCCCTCAGGAAACAGCTCCCTGTTGACCTGCAGGTCCATCCGTCCATCCCCTCCTGGGGCTCTGGGCTGATCCAGCATGCGGTCACCAACATTCGTAGCTGTGGCTGGGAGCGAGAGGGCAAGAAATCAGTGTGGAATGGGCAAGCCAGGAACCTCTCCCTTCTCCCCACCCCAGTGCTGCTCATGCATGGCTGCACTACACTACCTGATGCACATCAACCCAGCTCAGATGAAGATGAGACCAGTGGTAGCTGGAGCAGAGCCATGCCCAACTTGCCCAACACTTCCTCCAAGAGATTATTTCCCCTGCTTGGTCCTGTTTCTGGGAAGCCTCACTTGTGCCAAGGTCTGAGGCAGAGATGCAAAGGATAGAGCAGAGGTGAGTGCTTCTGGGCTGCCCAGGCTAGAAAACACCACCCAACACAGCAAGAAGTCTTCAGGTTAGGGCCTGTAGAGCTAGAACTGGCTTCAAGCTACCCCAGTGTCTGCTTTCCTGCCCTTCAGGGCTGACAAGAGATGGTGGTAAACCTTCCCAAACCATCTGAGATGCCATCAAAGCACCCACAGTTTTTCTCCCACCTTTGGCTACTCAGAAGCAGAGCCGAGGGTTGGTGGCCATGGCACTCCCAGTGAGACACCAAAGCAGCTCTCTGCTCCCAGGACTCGCTGCCATGACCTCCCCAGGCTGATTCACACACTGCTTCATGCTTCCTTGCTAGATGCCTTCAAGACAACACCCATGGGTGCAGCCAACATGAAACCTCCTGCCCCGGTTGCAGGACCTCAAGCATCATGGGACACAGAAAACCAGTTCAGGGAACAGGAATGAGGATGGTGGCTCCCAGGGACATCCCCAGAGCAGTACTTCACCTGCTGGGGAATTATCCTTGAAAAACTCAGTCCAAATTCAGGTTCCAACTAAAGGACAATTTTCAAGGCAGGTTTTTTGTCAACTTGACCAAAAACCCACAGGAAAACTTCAAAGCAGCCCCCACGTAGGAACCACCCCACCTCTGCCACCACTGGGAGCTCCTACAGCATCCTGGGGTCAGGCAGGGCTCATCACACCCCAGCAGAGCACACCCTGCCCTGTCTGAGCCCTGGGGTTCTGATGGCACTGCATGACCTGGGCTGGATCCAAAGGGAAAAGGTCTTCCTAATCTGATGGAGTGGTAGGAAATGAGGAAAAACCCCAAACCATCCCAAGTATGACCACACATTTAGTTTTCTCCATGGTAGAAGCTCTCGCCTCACCATTGAAAGGTTTTAAAGGTTTGTAATTCCCACCCCCCCCCACCCCCACCAGTAGCACTGAGTTCAAAGCCAAAATAATTCCAAACCTAAAAAGTTTTATCTAAAACTGCTGATATGAAACAATTTGCTTTTCATCAAACCATCAATATGCAAAAGCATTTTCCCTGACAGAACCATATTTTTGTATTAAAAAAACAGTTTGAGGTCAAAACATTGCTCAGCTCTACATGTGGAGCCTGAGCAACAAGAACCCACCTGGTTTTCAGCAACCAGGCATGTGGTTAAAGATAATCAGCTGAAGGTCTTGCATAAGGTGACACAGAGCAGCCATGCTGTCTGCTGCAGTCACACAGGTTTTAATTCAAAGTGAAGAAGATGCTGAGCCCATGAAGCAGAATTAGCCTTGATCTCTATCGCTGATACGACTCGGCTACATCAGCCTCCCCCAAAGCTTGGGTGCTCCTTGGAGGTGCTCAGGCAGTGGTCGCATCTTCTGCTCTTTTCCACCCTGCATCCTCCCTGCTCACTCGAGGAAACTCCAGCTTGTGGGCAATTCCCATGGCACGTCCCCTGTGGGTCAGTTTAGCCCGTGTCACAGAGAAGGTCCCAATCCCATTTCTCCTGGGGATGAACCTCTGCACAGAGAATTCCCAAATCAGCAAGAAATGGATCAGCCAGAGCCAGGGGAGGTGAGATCTCTGGGAAAGAGGAGGTTCAATGCCAGAAAAGCTGTCATTGTGCTTGGTTTGCTCATCAGTCAAGAAAAGTCACACCCACGGGAGTTTCAAGAGGCAGGTTTGAGGCAGCCACCAAGTAAAAAGCCTCCCCGCATGACTGCCAAGTGATCCCAAAGGAAAAACATCCATAGCCAATCTGGACCATGGGTATGGCTTCAATTTGCACATGATGGAATAGTTTCAAAATGAAACATTGATTCTTTTTTAAAATTTTAATTCTTCTGAAGGGCTGACTCCTCTCTAAAGCATTGAAATGAGGCAAGCTGGCAGGGAAATTAAAAAAGAAACCAAGTTCTTCCAAAACAAAGCTCCAAAAGGGCAGAGGGCATTTTGAGATGATGCACATCCTGAGAACACATGGTCTCCAGCTCTCTCCCAGTGTCCACCAGCAGCACCTGCAGGGAGATCTGCAATGAGCTAAAGAGCTGCTGTGGGCTTACAGAATCCAATGGAAAACACCTATTTGTTCATTTTGTGCTTTCCAGCAAAATTATTTCTTCCAACTCTCCCACCAATCTCAGCAAGAGGCTTTTAATCTCCCCAAGATGCTCACTTCTACTCTCAGAGAAGTCCATTTCTGCACAGCTGAGCTAGAAAATCCTGCAGAATCTGTCTCCCATAGGACACACCATGATGACCTGGCTTGGGGAGAAAGCCTGGACTCAGAGAAAGGGTAGGAAACCAGAAGAGATGCTGTCTCCAACTGCTTTGCCACCAAGTATCACCACACTGGGGTTGCAAGGTCCTAACTGCAGGGCATGGATTGTAACTGGTGCTTCTAAGTACTGGTGGTATAGAGCAGCTGGTGTTCACATCCAGCCCAGTCCTTACCATCCATGGCCAGAGGCCAAGGAGATGCTGAGGCCAGCGCATGAAGCAAAACACATGGCGCTCTCCCACCAAAATAATCCAGGAATGTGTGAGCTGAGCTCCCCTTGCCTTCATCATCACTTCAACACCTGCAACTTAAGCTTGTGGCATCCCACCCTGCTGGGGATGGCCAGTGGTGGAGTGAGCATCCAGCAGACTGGCAGGGCTGAGGCTGCTTTCAGAAGCCACAGCCATTCTTCAGCAGTCTAGATGATCTGGAAACCTCCCGTACCCATTTTCAAGTGGTGACCCTCTTCATGTTCAAACATGTCATGACTGGGCATCCTCCTCAACCAACAAGTCAGGAGCAAAGTGTCCCTGTGACTCTCCCCCTCCAAACAGGTCTCTCAACTCATCCTCACTTGAATTGCCGAGAACCACAGGGGTTGGGAGCAATCCCAAGAGATGCCTGATCACATCCAGATAGATGACTCCAGGTCCATGTAACCACCAGAAGCTATTCCCAGTCACTTTTTGACTTGGAAAGGAAAAAAACTTTTAATCAAAGTGTAGGAAAAAACTGCCAGCCCATCTGCAACACTGGTAACCTGATGGGAGGGAGGGATTGCTCCTGAAACATCCCCGATCTGCTAGAGACAGGTTATTAGTCTCTGGGGAATTTCACCAGCACATAAAGCCACAGTCACCAGGAACAACTTGAAGGATACTCACCCCATGACAGGCACTGCTGGCTCCATCTCCCAATGACACTGGGTGGCAGCCTGGAGCCTCCTTCCCCTCCTGCTGGCTCCCCAACACAGCTGGGTGAAGGTGATGCACAGAGCATCTCCAGGACATGCCGTGACTCCAGAGCAGAGCCTGCAGCAACCTGGAGCCGGCACTACTGGGAGCAGGGAGGACCAAAGCCAAGGGTTCTTCACCCCAGCAGAGCAGGCTACATGATGGGGAGATGCCACCCCTCAGCATCCCACCGAGAGCCCCGGGTCCCTCAGCCTGCTGCAGGCATGTCTCCAAGGGGCTATGGCTGAGATGCCCTGAATGCAGTTGATGGCAAGAGGAGATCCCTGTCTGCTGCAAGGCAGGAGAAAGCAGCTGCCAAGCCACATTAAAAGCTAATTCCCCCTGTGCTTAAGGTACTTGTTGTAAGGGACCACTACACGTTGAGACTCATTTCCACACCAAGCAGCTGAGGCCATGAAGTTAATGGCACTAAAAGAAAGAGGTCCAAGATGTATACAAGCTCTAGCACATCCACAGCCAAAAGAAGTAACTATAAACACAAAGGTGATGCATATTTATTGTTTGTGCCCAGCTTCTTCAGTGTCCTGCTGCACATCTTTGAGAATTAATGGTAATTAATAAAAGATGAAAAAGAGCATGACAAAAGCGATCTGCAGTTACTAGACAAATTCCAGACATTTGCTGAAGCAATTTATATTTTCAAAGTGCTGGGACAGAGCCTATCATTGTGCAATATTGAAGAGGAGGGTAAGGAAATCCAGCTCTGTCCTGAACCCCTACACCAGGCAGAACACTGAAGGAGGGGTCCTGCTGCTGGTGTGATCACCCAAAACTGGAAGGCTTTCATTTAAAAGGAAACCAGGGGAGATGTCAGCCAGGATCAGGAACATTTTCAGCATTAATGAATCAGGAGGTGTCCTGTACATCCCTAGAAACATCCCTTTGGGTTTTGTTTCTCACCTCTGTGAGGAGGTTTCTAAGCCCTGCAATGTGGGAGAAAGACCTCAAGCATGAGAAAAAAAAAAAAGAGTGAAGCAGTCTAATCTCTTCACTTTTGCTCATCACATTCACAGAGACACAGCAGCACAACCATGGAGGCTAACACATCCCTTGCCTCTGGCTTCATTTTGTCACTGAAAAAAACTAATTATCAGCAAAAAATCCTGGGGTCAGTTCTGCTGGGCAGAGTTACACCAGTGGGAGATGACAGACTTCACCCCTGGCAAGCATTTCTCTTTGAACAGAGTCCAGAGATGCCTGTCATCAAGAAACTAGGAGCTCCCAGCTCTTCCAACAACAGCATGCCACGCACAACCATCTTCCTCTTGGACCCAATCCCAACCATCATGAAATTAGCAATTTTTGCCTCAGCTGTTTAACAAGGGCACCGTGCCAAGCAGAGCAGGCTCACGCCATCCAAGCAAAACAGCACTCTGCAGGCAAACGCCAAACCCACAGATTATAAACCTATCAGACATCACCCAACATTTTTCCAAGGAGCATGGAAACGCCCAGGGGAGCGCTGGCAGCCCCAAAGCCCA